GCGACGAAGACGGCTGCGGCTGCTCCGCCTCCGTGGGCGAGGCGGGCAAAGCCGGCGAGTCGGGCGTTAGTGTCCACGACAGTGGCCGCGGGTAACGTAATGTCCCCATGATCTGAACTGTTATTACCTGCAGTAGATGCAGTGTTACTGCTGGCGATAAGGGCTGGTTGTTTTAACCATTTTCTGATGTCCATGACTGCTGTGTAAGCACCTTGCAGATGATGAGCGCGCAGCGGCACAGGTCACGCACACCTGACATAATAACGTTAGTTACCGTTTAAATTGACCAAATAACTGCAGCAGACAATGTTATTTAACCACAATTACAATTTATTTTATTTCAACTAAATTATTATTATTATTATTATTATTACTACTATTATTATTATTATATATGTAATATTTTTCGCTTTTCATAATTATTTATTTTTCACTTTTCATTTTCATTTTTTTCACTTTTCATTTTTCAAATGAGGGTGCATAACGACTCAACTGTGGGTGCAATGCACCCTTATGCACCCCCGTAGAAGCGGGCCTGCTTTTAATAATAATAATAATACATTGTATTTATATTGGGCGCCTCTCAAGGTCGCAGTAAATGGTAAATGGACTGTACTTATATAGCGCTTTATCCAGTCTTTAAGACCCCTCAAAGCGCTTTACATACTACATGTCATTCACCCATTCACACCCATTCATACAGAGCAGTGTACCTTACTCTAGGACCTAACATTCACACACATTCACACACCGTTGGCCATGCCAATGGAGCAACTCAGGGTTAAGTATCTTGCCCAAGGATACATCGACATGTTGACTGCATGGGCTGGGATCGAACCCACAACCTTCTGGTTGAAAGATGACCACACTCCCTCACAGCCACAGTCGCCCTGTACAAGATACACAAACAAATCAACAGCAGAACAACAAGTAAATATAACCAATAAGAGCAGAGGACGTGTCATGTGATCAGGGGGGATATGCCAGTGTGAAGAGACGTGATTTCAGACGTGATTTAAAAAAGGAGAGATGCCAGAGGTGTTTTGAGGAACTACTACTGGGACTAGAGGGAGGAATGAGACTGCGTTCCTCTTCCCAGACAGCAGAGGGCAACAGACGCTAACTGTGATCAATGCTGACTCAGCAATCTGCATATTTGGAAAGTCAGCGTTATAAATGACATCTTTGTTTTAGATCTAGACTTCCAGCTGAAACCACATCTCCCTTTTGAAGTCCCTGTCATCGTATTGTCTTCAGAGGTCTCAGGAGGTAGAATATGTTCTGACCTTTCTCACCTCAAATAATTACAATCAAAACAAAGTGACCTCTGTTTTGAATCCACGTCGTGTGGAGTGAGTCTTATCTGAGTTTATATCAAAGTGAATATATCAGATGAGTGTTATCTCACAGTGTTGGTACCAGGAAAGTAGAGCGAGTTGATCTCCCACACGGAGCCTTATCTGATGACCTTCCGCCTCTTTAACCCTCTGCTTCACCACGGACATTTGTGACCTTTTTATTTTACATGTTGGAAGCTAAATGCTAGTTTCTGTGATAAAGTGTGTATCCAAAATACAGACAGTCAGAGCCTTAAGGACACACATGTTCCCATTGAACCTCAGGGAAACCATAACTAATAACAATAATACATTTCATTCATCAAGCGCTTCATCAGGAGCTCAAAGACGCTTTACAGAGGTAAGAAAAGAAGATAGAAAGTGATTAAAATCAAGCAATAAAACCACATTGATCACAAGCACCAGTCACATGTAGAAAGATGAGAGTTCGGTGCCCCTAGTTTCTGGCTGTTTCCACCAGATTGAGAGTTTCTTGGTGTTTTGCACAAAAAATAAAAAATAAAACTCAAAAAAGTATTCTTGCTAATCAATGATGAATTACACAATGTGAGAAATCTAAAATGAATTAAAACAATGGATCAAAGTCAATATTGGTGCCAATTGTTACCCTTTTCACAACACTTTTATTTATAAAAATACTATTTATTAATTGTTTATTCATAATAATGTTGTCCTCTTAGTGATAGCTTTTTAAAAAAAAACATATTTGTTGTATAAGAAATACAAATAAATGGTTAAATTAAATATTTAAAGTTTTATAAATTAAATACAAATAAAAAATGCATCTAAATCTGTGACGCTGCTAACCAATAAAAACACATATTAAAAAAGCATTTAATACACAGAAAATAATTTCACTTTTGTTGCTTTATGTAAACAAACCGGCATTTTAGGGTTAACAAATGTCACTCAGTAGAGGGGCCATATTATTTTATGGTACTTTTTATTTAAAGCGCATATTTTTTAGAGGCGGTCGAGGGTTATCGAGCGTCTCCTCTCAGCATCTCAGCGAGGGAACACCCCAATGGATGTTGCAGATGATTAACCAGGATCACAGCATGAATCAGCTGATACCGACTGGATTTGCATGTGTTTCCCAGGATCCGCTCTGCACCTACTTCCTTAAAGCTGACGCTGAGAGGCAGCAGGGAAACCTCGCCGCCATGCAAACACCGTGAGGGGGGAATCCCTCTGATATCAGGCACAACACTCACACTCCTCCCCCTCATGTAAAGTGTCCGGAGTTCCCCTCAGCCCACCAGCTGTCAATCAAACGGTTCTTAGAGACATTTCAGGAAAATCTGAAGTTTACCTTGTTGACAATGTGCAGAGTAGCTCTGACTGAAGCATAGACAGAACATCTACGTAGTGTCTCTACTTTAAAGAGTCCTCTCCTGCTGATGTTCAGGTGTATATCAGTATGTAGTGTCTCTACTTTAAAGAGTTCTCTCCTGCTGATGTCCAGGTGTATATC